ACACAAATTCCCAACTAACATAACATATTTGCTACGATAAGTAATTCATTATATACATATAACTACTAAAACATCATTATATAAACAATACAAAATTAAATCATATCGAAAAATTGCTTATGTGTATGTTTGCTTAAATTTGAAGAGGGAGGGGGAGAGTGTTTTTCCAACTGCTCGTGGGAGGGATATTTATATGAAAACCAGGGAGCATTCACCGCCTTTCTCCACAACGGTGAAGCCGAAGGTGATCACCGCGTTGACCTAAAGCGGTGAACATTAGGTGGTTGTGACCTAACTTCCAACTATCAGGGGTTGGAAACGTGAAAAACTATCACCGTGGTAACCTAGAGCGGTGAAGGTATTCCCGGCTTTGCACGAAAACAGTGATTTATTCACCGTTGTATACAAACACAATGATTGCTTCACCGTTTAAGTTAAACGCGGTGAATATTTCACCGTTGTAAACAAAAACAGTAATTTCTTCACCGTTTTGTTTAAACGCGGTGATTTATTCACCGTGTTTGTCTAAAACAGTGATTGCATTCAGTCTCTAAAGCAGTGATTGCAATCACTGCCTTAAACAAAGGGATGTAAAACATGTATAGATTGGATTTTTTTTATAACTTATGCATTTTGAGAATTGTTTTTGGCTCGTTTGCTTGTTGGATTTGAAAATGAAGGTTTTGAGTTTTGAAAACCTTTGGATTTATGATGGATTTATTGCATTTTGTATTTGAAAGATAACATTGTTTGTTTAGTTGGATGTTTATCAAGAATTTAGTTCATTTGGTATTTGGGTCTCAAAAATTTGTCTTCCATAGTGTGGTATTTGCAAATATGTGGGGTCCACGAATTTGGAACTAAAAATAAGATCCAAATATGTGGGCTCCATGAATTTATATACCTCAACAAACAATGTTTTTACATCAAATACATAATACTTGGTATTTGAGTGCCAAATACAACACCCAAATCCCACAAAGTAAACGACCTCTTAATTACTTGCGTATATTGGGATTTTTCCCACATTTCCTCCTCTCATATTAGAATTTAGAAGAACCCTTCTTGCAGCAGGTTCACTCGCGTCTGCTTTGATTCGGACTCCAGGGGGAAGGTACTTTCCTCTACTTTTGCCTATCCATGGTGGTCGTAGCTGTCTCTCCGCTCCAGCTTTCTCTTTTCCTTTGCTGATGCTTATCTTCCATTCTTTTGTTGTCCGTGAGTGCATTCTCTTCCAGCGTTTCCACTTTCCAGTGCCGTCGTTTGAGTTTCTGCTGAGATAAAGATGGCTAGTTTCCCCCCCTTCTTTATGTTTTCCTTTGTGTTTTCTCTAGAAAAGTTAATGAGGGAAGTCACTTCCTGTTTTTGCTGTTGTTTGATCTCCGGAAAATGAAGGTTTACTTCCATTTCTCTTTGAAAATTCTCGATTTTTATATGTTTTTTCTTTCCTGCTGGTAGGGGAACTTGAGGAGGACCCATTGATTGGTTCCCGTACTGGATATTTCGTCAAGAAATCTCGTGTGGTTGGTGAAATTAGGGAGTAGCCAGCCATGCCAGACGTGCAGGCCCTCGTTAATGACTTCCTCAATAAGCTTAAGAAACGGTGAGTTAGGGGTTTACTCAGTTCGAATTTGGCGGTTGCATTGGAAGAATTAGGGGCTTAGCTTGTCTAAGAATTAAAAATTGGATGAACTTTTGGTGGGCAGTAAAATTGAGGGCTCCCAGGCAACAGCGAAGCAGACTGCTGAACTCCTGCGCTCAGTGATTTCACAGCAGCGGGTGCCTTATACTAATCAGGCTGGAGCCTTGATTGATTCTGTTAGAGCTATTGGAGAGCAGCTTATTGCTGCAAATCCTATTGGTATGTCTGCCCAGTTAATTTTTATGTCCATCTCTAATTTACATGTAGTTCTGAAGGAGAAGCCTTCAATTGGATAGGCTTTGTAATTTCTGAAATCTAATAGTTGACTGAGATCATAGTACTGATACGAATTGTAGTTATGCAAATAGGTATAGCGAACGCCCAAAAATTCGCATCTCATGAATTTGAGTCTTATGTATCCAAGACTGGATTACTTCTGCTTGGGTCATCTGTCTAGAGTTCCTAATGCTTCTTTAATATTAATGTTCTTCTCCCTATCTGGTTGCAGAGCTAGCTGTAGGTAATATTGTGAGGCGTGTTTTGCACATTATTAGGGAAGAGGATCTTTCATTGACAACAGCTGCTGTTACGGAGTTGAACTTATCAACCATAAGTGATGACGACGACGACGATGGTGGTGGTAACCAAGATGATCACCCAGTTCTATCAGCAGCGGCTGTTGCTGCTGCTGCAAGGAGCAGCCTTCGTCCACCATCCTTGCAAATGTTACTGGAGGGTGCACCTGAATTTGTTGCTGTTCCTCGTTCATCTTCTTCTGGTGGTGATTCAGAAGGGAAAAGCAAATGTAAGATTCCCTTTCTTTTGCTCTACTATGTCTGTCATGTGGAGTGACACTGGATCTGTTGCTATTGTGCCACTTGGAGCAATTGTAGAAATAAATTGGTCATCATGTGGTGGAACTCATTTGTTCTGAAATTTCTTGTTTAAGGTTGCATGCACTTATGTGATCAAGAAACCAAACTGACTGATCTCTATGGCTCTTTGTATTGTCTAATAGAAACCTGCTTATTGAATCTTTTATTGTACGTAACAGCTATGGATAGAAATTCAAGAACACGGAAGCTGAAACATGATGTCATTGAAGCAGTTAACGAGCTCATTCAAGATATTACAACGTGTCATGAACTTATTGCCGAGCAAGCTGTGGAGCATATTCATCAGAAGTAATCCCTATGATATTTTTACTTTTCACTTAAGTTAATTTTCTACAACTCGTTTCTCTGCCTTCAATGTGTTTGGTTTTGTGAATGTTATGGGCGGAGCTTAGGATGTGGAATGGTTTACTGTAATTTTGGTATGGATGAAGCACTTTATTTTTTCCTTTGTATCTATTTTGCTTCAACACAGTTTCTGGTTCACTTCTAGTATCAGTTTTTAGAGAGTTTAATATCATTGTAGTTGCTTCTGATGTCTGTTGCTTTCTTATGTGGCTAGTGCCTTAATATTTCAAGTGGAAACTGGTGTATGTTTTGGTGTCGTGCCTATTATCTACTTCTGTTGGAAACAACAAATTCCCATTCAGCAAGTTAACTTGGACTCGATGAAGCAGTCTACCAGAAAATAAATCTCACACTGGGTTCCTTTTTGTTATGTGCATAGATTTTTATGGAGAAGATGTATTAGCATTTATTTATTTTTCTTGGGTGATATTGTTACTGCCTTAACTAATTTGGTTATGAAATTGTCTTCAGTGAGGTAATATTAACTTTAGGAAGTTCAAAAACAGTGTTAGAGTTCCTGTGTGCTGCAAAAGAGAAGAAAAGATCATTTCGTGTATTTGTTGCTGAGGGAGCTCCAAGGTTTGTGTAAACAGCTACTTTGTACTGCAAATAAACTACTTTCTTGTTGGTTTTATGAGGAACATTTTTCTAAATACATTCATTCCATAAATAGGTATCAGGGGCATCTACTGGCAAAAGAATTGGCTGCAAGGGGATTGCAGACCACTGTAATTACTGATTCTGCAGTTTTTGCAATGATTTCTCGAGTAAACATGGTATGTAAATTGTGTATATTCAACTTCAATTTTCTTTCTCCTGCTGTGAACTGGATTTGAGACAGAAGACTACGAATAATAATTCTGCTTGAAATTTCTTTTGTTAAGGTTATAGTGGGATCGCATGCTGTGATGGCGAATGGTGGGGTCATAGCACCTGTTGGAATGAATATGGTTGCACTTGCAGCTCAAAAGCATGCCGTCCCTTTTGTTGTGCTTGCTGGTAGTCACAAGGTAATTTTAGTGTAACTAGCAGCTTTACCTGTCATGGACCTATGGTAATATGTAAGCAGACTTTTCCTTTGTTTCGCTGGTTACTGCTCTGCTTGGCTTGGCTCTCTTACCCTTTTGGTTTCTGTATCTAATTTCCCTGGTGAACACTCCTCAAATTTGCTGTTGTTTGTCTTGTTTGTAGTTGTGCCCCTTGTATCCTCATAATCCCGAGGTGTTACTGAATGAACTGAGATCCCCATCGGAGCTGCTAGATTTTGGCGAATTTTCTGATTGCTTAGATTTTGGGAGTGGCGACGGTTCCCCTCTCCTTCATGTTGTCAACCCAACATTTGATTATGTCCCACCAAAGGTCGTTAGTTTGTTTATCACAGACACGTAAGTTGCTCCTATCCTGCCTCTGTTCTGGGCATGCTATATATCGACATAGTATTTATTCACAACTTTATGCAACTCGTTTGACTGATCTGGACAAACACTGCATATCTAGTTATTTACGTGTTATCTTACTAATTATACGTTGTTCATTGGACTCCCTGGTAGATCTGTAACTATGCATAGAAATACATGTAAATATTTGCATATATAATGACCTTGCTGCTGCTATTCCTCTTTGGCAGTGGTGGGCATAATCCTTCCTACATGTATCGGCTCATTGCTGATTATTATTCAGCTGATGATTTAGTGGTTCAAAGAAGGCATTCCGCAGTTAATTGAATTTGGGAAGAAGAAAGCTCCTTTGTGCAGTATATGACGTAACTTGGTAGCCAGTACTGCTGCCGTCGAAGAAGAAAGGAATGAGGCTCTCTGATTGACTGGCCAATTTTGTGGAATGTAATAAAATAAAAAGACATACAAAAATCTGCATCAAATTGAGGGTAAGGGAAAGGAAAAGCTTGACGGTGCTCTTAATTATGAATGTAGTAAGAATCTTGTATTTGCCCAGAGAAGAGTCATGAAAGCGACTGAAGTGTTATTTTTCAGGATGCTCTATACGCGTAGGCCTAGTCCTCGGGGAAATTTTGACATTAGATGGTTTTTATAGTTGAAATAAGGTTCGGATACGTTTAATACAAGATGCTGCTTTCATTTTCAGAGCCTCAATAGCACTGTTAGAAGCATTTTGTATTGAATTGGACACGTACGCATTTGACAGAAATTAAAGGATATTATCATATTATGAGAACGGAAGAACTTGATTATTTGTTTGAAAAAGATAACGATTTGGTACAACAATAACACATTTGAAGCAAATGTATTTTATCTTACAACGCAAAAAAATCCAAAAGGGCTATGCATACATCATTGATGGTCCACATCAAACCAGAAGTAGACACAAGCGCGAGCATAAATAGCACGAACACGTTGCAAAGCCAGGTCTCCATTTGTGAGTACAGCCTTGGCACCCCCTTCTATTCGGGTTTCAGACACAGCAACACTATTATTGCTGCCATTTTTGTTCTTGCAAGGGGAAGAAGCTAAGACTTCAAGCCCGGTGGCACCTGCTGTGCTCACGATAGGGCATGAGAGGTAGTCCAGAGGGTTAGATTCACACTGAAGTATACAACCATCTATGGTCAGCCTCCCACTTCTATGAAGCAGGCAACAACCAAGCTCCGCTCTCACAGTTAGGTTCATCAATTTGCAAGACGAAATGCACTCCAGCGCGCTGCCCAAAAGCCATATGGCACAGTGAGAAAATACCACGAAGGTTGACAATTTTTTCATGAAATAAACAATAGGATAGTAGTGACCTTTGAGGGTTTGTCGAAAGAATTTAACATTTTTCTCATTAGATAAATAGCTTGAAGGAGGCTCCCCAAAGATCAACATCAATACAATTTACAAAAGGAATGAAGTTCTATGTACCTGTCCGAACCTCTACAGCACAGAAGTGTTGTTTCATCTGGGATATCTCCTCCACCAACCTGAAAACACATTTGATTAGAGAGAAAAGCACCCATCCACTAATCTGGTATTGAAAACATGTTCTCTCATCAACATTGTACAACCAGGGATCCAGCATATCTGGGTCATGAATGTAATGGGACAGAGTTACTGAAAAACCATTAAGTGAATCTTCAGTTCATTTTCATGAGGCATAACTTCAATGAGGCCAAGTTATTCGGATTAAAGACAGAAATTCCATGAATCCCCACTTCTCGAGATTGAAGATATTGAGAAAGAAACACAATTTCCTAAAATACAAAAACATTAAGTTAATAAACAAGTACACTTCCTGAAGTCACAAGTCATGTTTGAAGAAGCCAGTAACTACGAAAGCATGCCATATGAGGTTTTAATCAAAGCATCTAAGCATGACAAGTACATCACTTCAGCGAATAATTAACCACAGAATTCAATCCGAACATACCAGGCAAAGTGGTTTATCTATCTGAATATTAGAGGCAAAATGACTCCCTCCTGCTGCAATTAGAATGGTATCTCCAGGTCTAACAGCAACATAATCATCAGAATAGAGTATTCACAAGTCAGAGAGAAATTACATCTCAATAAAGTACCTCGCAGCAGAAACAGCAGTCTCGATACTGGGGAAGACTCCAGGTTCTTCGAGATCTTTCACAGAACGGTCTACTCTGAGCCATAGGCGAGGATGACATGCCAAGTAACGCCATCTGTGGCAAACCAGGGCGGTGTTATACCGATCTGCAAACTCAATGGAAACAAGTGACAAGCAATTGCAAAGTGTACCATGGAAATTTTGTTTAATATCAAGTCAATTGCCACTTCAGATCATTGTTAGTGAGCATAAACAGCTAATCGGATTAAAATTTCAGATATTCACAGCTATATTCGGATTAAAAAGCCATTACTATTCACTACTTTTACTCCGATTTAACGTTTCTTACTCATTTCGTGTCCCGTATGCGTTGTTGAAAACTTCCGATGAATTAAACTATCAAATCAATCCTAATTGGCTAACCATCCTTTCTCCATACATAAAGCTCCATTCTTTTCAATAACCCGATGACCAAATCGCATAATTAGTGAAACAACATATCGGAGAAATTGGGACTTTTACAGAACCCCACTAACCCAAACTGAATAATTGGCTCAAATTTCAGCTCCACTGGGTTTTAAAAAACACGAATCGCAGTTCTAAGAAAGGTAGATATATCGCGAGGGAAAAGAAGATGAACCTGGGCTCGGAGATAAGAAGCTGAAGATGTGCATAAGGCAGCCATCATCGAGACTGCTGATTGGGGAAAAATGAGGCAAAGAAGAAGAAGAAGTTGGTGCCAAGTTCTTAATCGACTTCTTCCAATCTCGCCTCCTCCTTTCGCCTCCCGCCGCGCCCATCATTTCTCCTCTTCGCTCGCCGGGAGCTGCAGAAGTTTGTTCCGGACTTCCCCTGGAATACCCCTTGTGGGAAGTTACCGGCATTAACAAATATTTCCTCTCTTTAAAGTCAAGTGAATTTTTTGTTGAAGTGATTTAGGGTTAATTCCCTAAATATTGTTTTTTTTTTAATTTATCACACATACTGTGGTTTAAAAACTATTGACACAAATATTGTGTTTTGTAGAGGGTTAGCAGCGAGCCCGCCCGAGACTCGAGCGAACACGCTTTTAGATTTTTTTCGACCAACTCGAGCGCTAGAGCCTTAGTTTGGGGCGATTTTGGAGACCAAAGCGGTGGCGCCCCAAACTGGGGCGGGTTCACTGCTTTGCCCATCCATTCCAACCCTATAAAACCAAACGATTCCTTTCAGTAGCTCACAAAAAAAAAAAAAAAAAATCGATGTCCCGTTAGACGAGAGAAGCTCTGGTTGCTGCAAAGATGGCTAATAGGTAAGAGACACATTTATTTTTTTAATTATATTCTTCAAATGATGTTATGATTTTGTTTAGTAATTAGTGAGTTTGTTTTTTTATGCAGTGATTTTACAAGATTTGAATTAGTCGTTCGGTGGAAATCGGAGAAAGTAGAGGATAATTTGGGCCTCCATTTCGTTGGTGGTGGAAGTTTTAGATGATGGTGCCATCCAGGGTGACATATCACAAACTTTGTGAGAATCTAATTAAGAGAATACGGTGTAGAGACAAAGCAGTGCAAGATAGCGATGTGATCACAGGTTTCACTTATTGTCTTCCAGAATGACAGAATGGTTTTTTTATTTCATTATGCGATGCATATTGTGGATATGATAGTTTGAATGCGTTTTGGAATTTTATGGCACAAAACCCTTATTGTTTGGGTGTTGAGCTACATGCTGAGCTCAGTGAGCATCAGGGTGAAGAGGAAGAAGATGAGACATGGAGCGTGCCATCCGATCGTGATGATGATGACAGAGACGGAGAGGAGGAGGAGGAGGATGAAGATGGGAAGGAGAGCAACCTAATTATCCTCACTATTTTTACTTGCATGTTAATGAAGAGGACGACGAATTGTCATTTGCTTATTCATATGGCGTAATTCCAATGCCTATGGTTGGTGGTTTTGAAGGAGAATTCTACAAGGAGCAGATATTTCACTCGAAACAAGCTGCATAGGTGGCGATTAAACACCACGCACTACAACGCAGCTTTTAGTATGTCATGGTGGAGTCGTCATAGAAAATATGGAAGGTCAGATGCTTGAAGCACAAGGAGGACAATTGTCCTTGTATGGTGCGGTTTGGATGTCGAGATGTTGGATGCGAATGGACTGTGAGAAAGGCCGAGTTGGTGCATTCTTGTAGCTCTACGACTCAACCAATGGATCATCGCCATCTTGATGTCGACGTTATATCTGAGTCTGTGAAACATTTGGTACGTGCCCAACCAAATCTGAGTGTTCTAACTATGCAGGCCGAGTTGAAAGATAAGTTTAATATGCAAGTTACGTACAAGAAGGCTTGGTATGGGAGACAAAGAGCATTGGAGAAGTTGCATGGAAATTGGGAAGAATCCTACGATTATTTGCAAACATTCTTGTGGGGGGTAAAGAGAAAAATGCCAACATTAGTGATTGATTGGGTAAGAGTTCCTTCAGCTCAACCAGGTCATTTGATCTTTTAGCGAGTATTCTGGGTTTACGGACCTTGTATAGATGGATTCAAGAATTGTCTAGGAGTCATGGTTATTGATGGAACATTCCTACTGGAAAGTATAAATTAGTGCTACTCATGGCGAGCTCATTTGGTGGTCGGAAGAAGATTTTTCCAATAGCATTTGCCATCGTAGAGAGCGAGAATACTGAAAGTTGGCCATGGTTCATTAGTCGCGTTCAAGGTTTGACTGATCAAAATGATGTTAGCATCATCTCCGATAGACATGCGGGACTCTATCAAGCCATGAGTGATATCGGAAGAGGCTGGGAGTGGTGGTAGTGCATGCGACACTATGCAAGCAATTTGCAAAGAAAGACTAAAAGCAAAATTACGTATAAGCAACTATTTCGAGTTGGTAAGCCTTCTGCATCGTTATTGATATTTATTTTAATGTATTAATTATTTTCATTTAAGAATTGTCATGAATTTATCTAACTCATGTGGTTATTTATTTTGTTAGCCGGAGAAACACTTGGAGAAGTTCGATCGTCAAGTTGAGAAATTTAAGAAGTTGGTCGCTGATAGAAATATTTCTTATGATAACTGGGTAGACCAACATCAAATTCGTTGGAGCTTAGCACATGATAACTATAATGGTGGGCGTCGATGGTCTATCCTGACATCCAACATGGCAGAGAGCTTCAATAGTGTTTTCGAACGTATTCGTTCACTTCCTATTGCTTCTCTTGTGCAACATACTTATTGGCGATTGTTGGATAAATTCGATAAGATGAGGTTGGAGACAGAAGCACAAATCAGAAGTGGTCAATCATAGTACACCACCATCTGCGAAGATCTGATCAAGCCGTGGGCACAAAAGGCAGTTGGACATTCCGTGATGGGGGTTGATCGACGTCAGGGAATCTATGTAGTTCAGACTCTTCCCAAATATTTCAACATGACGGGTGAGAACACACTCACAGTACACTTCGACGACAACAATCGGGCGGGATTTTGAACTTGTGGGAAATTTCAAGGACATAAAATTCCTTGATCTCATGCCATTGCAGCTTGCAACCGAATAGGGGCTAACATGTATAGGTTTGTAAGCGATATCTACAAACTTGAAACAGTGTTGGCTTGTTATGCGACAAGTTTCACTCCTCTTGGTGAACCTAAGGGTTGGAAGAAACATAAAGGACCTACTCTCCATCCTAATGTGCACATGATTAGGAAGCCGGAAATGCCATGAACAACAAGAATTTACAACGAGATGGACTAGCCAAGAAAGGGTGTATCACAACAAGTGTGTAGCAATAGGGGCTAACCTGTATAGGTTTGTAAGTGATATCTACAAACTTGAAACAGTGTTGGCTTGTTATGCGACAAGTTTCACTCCTCTTGGTGAACCTAAGGGTTGGAAGAAACATAACGGACCTACTCTCCATCCTAATGTGCACATGATTAGGAAGTCGGAAAGGCCATAAACAACAAGACTTCACAACGAGATGGACTGGGCAAGAAAGGGTGTATCACAACAAGAAAGGTAACCAGTCTGGACATAATGCATCAACTTGTGGTGGCCAAGCAAGTGGCAGTGGGAGCCAACAAAGAGGAGGCGGTGGGCAACAACGTGCGAGAGGTGGTAGAAGAGGAAGTAGTGGTAATAGACGTGGTATGTAGTTTGGTGGAACTTTTATCAAATGTAGAAGTTGTTGTCTTTCCAAGTAGTATTTGTTGTTTTGATGTTGTTGTGGTTTGAAGAAGTTGTTGTTTGGAACTTTCGGATTTCCATGCCGAAGTTGTTGTCGTTGTGACTTTTATAAAATGTCGTTGTTGTTGTTGTTTGATGTTGTTGATATTAGACAATAACATTGATCATAACAAGCAATAATGACATAGTACACAATAATAATAGTCCACTAAAGACCACAATGATACATAATGACCATAGAAGTACATAATAATAACATAAACATAATAGTCCACTAACGACCACCACCACCTAGATGATTTGACCGCCAGTACCACAGATCCTGGGCTGCCGGTTCCGTTGAGGCCTACCATCATTGTGATGTGGCTCCTATCCCTCCGCTGTATTATCCTGATCTTGTGTACCAAACATGTCATACTGCTGAGATGGAATCTGCTCCTCTGGTCCACCGCCACCTCTCCGGTGCACCTGAAGAAACTGCACATATGACCACTGCGATTGTCGAAACAACTGATCCCCATCTAAACTGTCCCACGGGTCTGGCCATGTGTCTGCTCCAGTATCAGTACTTGATGCCATGTATCCGCCCCCATCATACCATGCTGCGGTGTATGCAAGCTATCCTCCAATGGCTGAAACTGCGGCTGAGAAGGCCCCAAGAAGTGCCTGCATCAAATCCCTGATAAGCGCCCGGCTGAAATTGCGGCTGAGAAGGCGGATGGATCAGGAAGCTCGTGATAGGCCTAACGGTCTGTGCTCACTGACAATCTGAAATCCACACTGGACGAGGTACGTCACGCTGCTCACGTCGCTGTCTACGGCTCCTGAGCTCCACCGTGAACTATGGTTATGGCACTCCCCAGGTCGATGCCGAAACCCTACGCTCTGGCCAACTGTCTAGACTGTGATGATTAACAGGATACCTCTTAATAGGTATTGTAGGATCGGGATATCGGCGCTCACTAAAACCCAAAGATGTAACCCTTGCCGCAAACATGTCAGCCAACTCCTCCATCCGGTCGGTGGACATCCCTTCATTCCAAACTCCTTTATGTAAACTCAGCTCAGCATACTCGATGGTGTCGTACTGAAAATTAAATTTAAAATATCAGAAATTCTACACATCCCAAAGCAATCAAAACACAGATATGAATTGATAAAAAACTAATCACTGCGTTGATTGTAACTATTCTCCGAGTGCCTGAATGTCTGGTAATATCTCGATCACTTTAGATGCTCTGAGTGGTAGGCTAAAGAGATGTCACTGTATCTCATACGTGCGATGAACTCATGTCGACGGTTCCACAAATCAATCGACTCACTGGCTGCCTGTATTAACTGCTGCCCACATGATGGCCCATGTTGTCCCTGACGAAGGCAAAACCTAATCTCAGCCGTGGGATATGGCTGATGAGGTCGGTCCTGCATAATGCCAAACTGTCCGAGCACGTGATCTGGATGGTGCCACATCGCCGCTGAAAAGTAGATCAGCTGAACTACTTCTCGAAACGTGTTGGACTGGATTACACTACCGCTAAGATCCTGGGCTCTATCAAAGTAAGGTCGCCACTACACACAAAAATTGGTCACATAATTACTCCTAAATCTAAAACAAACCAATGAAAACTATTCTATAAAACGAAATGTTATATACTAACCACAAAGGTCGTGCTCTCGTCAAACCACAGCTTGTACGGATAGAATTTGTAGTCTCTGGTGATGCATAAGCTGGTGAAAATTGCTCTGTAGTTTCTGGTGATGCATTTGGCGGCAGCTGATCGAAGGTATCCCTGAGCCAAGCAATCCTAATGACACCGCTGGAAAGATCAATAGGAGCCCCTCCTAACAGTCGAAGACACGTAACCGACCAGTTCTCGTCTGGTATGTCTACTATGACGGCATCACCGTCGAT